CACACACACACACAATCTCTGTATCTTTCACATTCACCTCCCAACACATACTTGTATTATTATTGTTGTTACTTCTTGGTACTTCCTGCAATGCACAGATATTCTCTGTAATTTTATTCTTTCAAAGTGCTGTTATTTTAGTTTTTTCCCTGGTCTGTGCATTTGATAATTTTTATTTCTCTTACAATTAAGTTTAATTCTTTGAGTAGTGAGTTCTAAAATGCCTAACCTGTCCTGGCTGGAGTAATTAGGCCTATGGTAACTTAAAAAAAAAATTATATCTAGGTTTTTTGTTTCTACTGGTAGCGCACATCAGCACATATCTCGGTGCACATAACAAAATTTATTCCGCACATGGATGGAAAAAATTAGAGGGAACATTGGACTGGCTGCCTGTCTCAATTCTAACGGAGCAGTCTCACGTCCTGCAAAATATACTAGCATGTCCTAAAATGTCCTTGAGGGCTGGTGCATCATCATCACACCAAGATGTCATGGTGCAGTGTACAGTTGTCACGATTTGATGATATGTCGTCATGCTGTGATGATGCGATGTCAAGATGTTGCAATACAAATGCCCTGGTGCAACACATTTGTCCCACTTCAGCTGAAGTTAAAGAGCCAGTGCACTCTGACGGGCAGAGCTCTGCCCAGATATGTGCCCTAATGCCCAGGACACAGCCACATTGCTGAAGGGTGCGTCTTCTCACCAGCTGGGACAGAGCAGAGCAGTATTTTGCTTGAGTTGCTTATTAGCCCAGGATTGTACCTGAATTTCACGTAGTGTAACAGGTCACAGACTGAGTCATTTCACCTCATAATTGCAGGTTCCCATCTCCCATGCCCAAAACAAAACTGACACCCACCAGCTCCTTCCACATAAACCACTCCACCCCTGTCAGATGGTAGCAAGGAGCCATTTTTAATGTGGAAGCCTCTTTTTCCTTTTGTGTTTAAGAAAATGGTGCAGTTCAGCAAATTGTACTGACATGACCGGTCTTACTGGACCATTAGTTTCTACTTACATCTTTACCTCTTAGTCCGGTCTCTCCTGGTTTCCCAGGTATTCCTGGTTCACCTTTCTCTCCCCTCGGACCCATTTCCCCCTGGAGATAAACAGTGAACACAACCGTTGCTTTCTTCTACTGCATTTTGTACCCCTGATATTCTAGGCTGCTGTGTGATGTGGGTGTCTCTTTCTCTCTCTATGGCAGCTGTGTTTAGGGATGTGAAACAGGCCCAGCTCACTCTGTTTGGCATCTAAACATCTCACCTGCGTAAGGTTTGCAAAAGAGGCATTCTATATTCATTCTTATCATTGCCCACCAGCATTACCATGTTCCCTTTGTAGGCCGTGCTGGAGCCCTACGCATAAGTAACAGTATGAACCAAAGGCTGTGAACCGGAGCAGGCCGGGCTTCAGCACAATGGCAACGCACCAGGTGGCAGCTAACTACGTTAGCACATTCCTGTCTGGAAAGGACGGTACAAAAAACACACAGCTCTCTCAAGTAACTATGTAAACACATTCTTAAGAGATAGTACAAGAACACATCGACCCCTCAAAGATAAGGAGGGAATGACAGGATAATGGATGAGGATATTTTGTTCTAACTAGCAGGTACAAGGATAACAGTTCTAGCTAACAACATCTGGAGAGTAATACTTAACTTGTTTGTATCAATGTATAAAAAGAGAAGGCATAAAAGGAGCATCTTTGTGTTAGCCGAGGTGACAGGACCCTGGTGTCCTGATTGAGCTGGTCCCATTGTTGCGGGCATACATGTTTGAATGTACCTGTAACCACGGAGCCACGGTGCTAGTACCATGCTTCCTTGATAAGAAGCCTGGCCCAGTGTCTTCACCACCGAACCAAGCCTGTGGCCGTCCTTTATGAGTGACATCGAAGTTTGCTGAATCAGTACGCTGCATTCCCGGCTAGCGCAGCTAACATCGGAGCTCCAAGACTGAGCAGCCTTAACAGCTCTCCACAGCACTAACATCATCCTTCCTGACCCAAACACCCTTCACCTCTCTCCACTGGCTACCCCACTTCTCCACCACATTGAGTTAAAACGTCTTGTCCTCACCTTTGCTCTTCCACTCTGGCCTACATCTCCCAATCACCTAGGTGCACCCTCCCCCTAGCCCCCGAGGGAACCCATCCCAAAGCAGCCCACGGTTCTTGTGCCAGGTTTGGGGAAGGACCAGTCTCCCAAAACAAAATTCCCCTTCAACAAAGTCTAGGGAACACCATGAGAGAAATATCATCGTTAAGCAGATCTTCTGCACAAGGGGCCCAGATTGACAGAGGCACTTCGGGGGAGTGGGGCAGCTGCCTGAGTATCTTTGTGAATCTGTATCTAGGCTTTTTTCAGTGCCCTCGTCCACCGGTCTGGCACTTTGCAAAGACACTGAGAGGTATTTTTGAAGCCAGCCTTTAGAAGATATTTCTGGTTTGAGCATTGGTTTGAGCATTGGCCTGCTAAACCCAGGGTTGTGAGTTCAATCCTTGAGGGGGCCACTTAGGGATCTGGGGCAAAATCAGTACTTGGTCCTGCTAGTGAAGGCAGGGGACTGGACTCAATGACCTTTCAAGGTCATTTCCAGTTCTAGGAGATGGGATATCTCTATAAGAAAAAACTGGCCCTCTATGTCTCCAGAAGGGATGGAAAGTGGGTTACATTGGGACTGAGATCTCTCTAGGTTTCTGCACACGCAGAAATGGCCTGGACAGCTTCCTACTGGTGTGTGTTAAGGTTAGGCAAGGGGAGAGTACAAAGAGGCAGTTTTAGCCTGTCATCTTGCAGTGTGCAGGGCCCCAGCTCTGCTGAATGGAGATTCCAGCAGAGCCACAACTTGCCTTGAAGCCTCTTCAGTCTTTACAGCTTCCCCGCCCCACGAATGTCCACTCTAATCCCACTTTAACGGCATCCTTTTTTACGTTGCAAAACCCAACTGATCAAAGTCCATTTGGGCGATACAAGCAAGAGTTGTGATTTTGCTTTGCCCACTCTGCGGTCTGTGCTCACTCACCTTTGGGCCAGGTTTGCCGGATAAACCTACATTCCCCTGCAGAGAAATCAGACCGTAAGTCACTTGGCAAGAACAATACCCAGAGATGTCACTGAGTTCTGCTCTCACAACCCTAGCAAAACACAATCGGCAGCAGATACAACTCACGGAAGTAATTCCGAAGACACCCTAGGAATGCGGGCGCTGCGGCCAACATGTTTAGACCTGGCTAGTGATTTTGGGTAGCCAACCTGAGACACATTAAAGGGTGTGTTGCAAAGTGCTAAGCACCCGCTCTCTGAAATGAAGGTCCCTGGAAAGAGTCACAATTTGGGCTCTCTGAAATGACAGTCACAATTAAAAACCTTGGCCTAAGTGTGGCCAAGTCTGCCCGTTGGTGGCCAGGCTCTAAAATGGCCATTCTGTGGCCTGGGACACAATGTGTGTGTATGGCTTTGAACTACAGCAGCCAACACCAAGTAGGACACTTATGGTCTCTAAGCAGCAGTTCTGCCTGGTGAGCCAAAGTGGCATCTTCCCTTGGCTGAGCTGTTCGAAGTTATTCTAAGCTGCCTTTTGCAACTCTTCAAGGCGCCATGTTTTATGCAGCTACCTGCTCTTTGCTTGTGCTCTGTTAGCAGCTGGACTAATATGCTATCATGTGGGGAGGGGGGAGAAAGCATGTTTTTTTAATAGCAAGGGTTTTGATTGTCCACGGTCCTGTGTTTCAAAATAGCCAGAGTCCTAGAGTTTAAGGCCAGAAGGGACCTGACCAGATCACATAGTCTGACCTCCTGTATATGACAGGCCACCACTCAGCCATCCCCACACCCAACCCAACAGCACTACAGCCCTCAGGACACTAAACGGTGGTGAGCCACAGGCAGAGAACAGGAGGGACTGTGGTGCAGCCATGCCCGAGGTCCTTGCAATGGCAGGGACCTGATTAAGGCCCGGCTTGACAAAGCCTTGGCTGGGATGATTTAGTTGGTGTTGGTCCTGCTTTGAGGTCTCTTCCAACCCTAATCTTCTGTGATTCTAAGTAATAGATTCAGGTGGTGCCCCTGGATCTGCACTACAGGGGGAGTTCACCTTCACCTTTGCTCTGCAGTCCCACAGCCTGGGATGAGCTGCCCTGTAATATGATCATGCCCTATGGCAGGCCTGCACAACATGCGGCCCGGGGGCCGCATGCGGCCCGCGGGGGCTCACTGTGCGGCCCGCGGGGGTTGAGTAGATGGGCTCACTGTGCGGCCCGTGGGGGGCTGAGTAGGCAAGCGGTGGGTGAGGGAGGGGAGCTGAGTAGGCGAGCGGGCGGGCAGTGGCGGGGAATGAGGAGGCGAGCCGGGCGGGTGGAGGGCTGAGGAGGCGAGCGGGCGGGCAGTGGCGGTGGGGCAGGTGAGCCGGTGGCGGGGGAGGAGGGGCTGAGGAGGCGAGCGAGCAGGCAGTGGCGGAGGGTGAGTAAGCGAGCCAGGGCAGGGGGGCTGAGGAGGCCAGTGGTGAGTCGGTGGCTGACCTGTTCTACTGATCTGGTCTGGCTCCCATCCCCTCTTCCAGGGCCGGCTCCAGGCACCAGCAAAACAAGCAGGTGCTTGGGGCGGCACATTTCTAGTTGCGGCATTCTGGCGCCGGCCATCATAGGTGCCGACTCCGGGGCATGGGGAAAAAGTGCCCTCACCGCCCCAGCTCGCCTCCACTCTGCTTCCGCCTGCTCCCCTGAGCGCACCGCCGCCGCTCCGCTTCTCCCCCCTCCCTCCCAGGCTTGCCAAGTGCAAAACCGCTATTTCGCGCAGCAAGGCTGGGAGGGAGGAGAAGCCGAGCGGCGGGCGCTCGGGGGAGGCGGTAGTGGTGGAGCGGAGGTGAGCTGGACCGGGGAGTGGTTTCTCTACCCCCCCCGTTACTTCCTGCTCCCCCTCACCCTAGCTCACCTCTGCTCCACCTGCTCCCCTGAACACGCCGCAGGAAGCAATGGGGGGGAGAAATGCGGCACGCCGGGGGAGGAGGTGGTGCTGGGGATTTGGGGAAGGGGTTTGGAAGGGTGGAGTTGGGGTGGGGCTGGGGGCAGAGGGGCACGAAAAAGAAAGGGGAGGTGGCCAAAAATTTTTTTGCTTGGGGCAGCAAAAATCCTAGAGCCGGCCCTGCCCTCTCCAAGGGTTGCAGCTGTCTGGAGGTGCCTGCCTTCCACGCCTTTCTCATTCACACCTCATTCATTCAACAGGGCAATTAATTACAAAGTGGGGGGAAGATTTTATTCTACTTCCAGCAAAAAGACATTTTTCTTTTACCTTAATTATACTACCTTAGGGGCCCGCTATAACATATTACCGAGGTTCAATACTGCTGTTTCGGTGGGGCGGCACTGGGGAAGGATGGTTTGTTTCCGTGGGGTGGGTGGCGCTGGTGGGGGGGTTTGGCGGCGCTCAGGGGGTTACGGCCCTTAGCTGTTTTCTTTGGAGTAATATGGCCCTCGCCGCTTTACGAGTTGTGCAGGCCTGCCCTATGGGCTCTGTAGAGTGTTTAAGGTGCATCGTTTTTGTATCAGAAGCTACTGGATTCATTTGCTAATGACAGGCCATATGGGGTGAGGCCAGATTTCGCTAGGGTGACCAGATGTCCCGATTTTATAGGGACAGTCCCGATTTTTGGGTCTTTTTCTTATATAGGCTCCTATTACCTCCCACCCCGTCCCGATTTTTCACATTTGCTGTCTGGTCACTCTAGATTTCACTCTTAGTGCAGCCCCACTGACTCGTCACGTTGATTTCAGTGCAGGTGCCCAGAGGTAACGGAGCAGAATATAGCTCAGGGGCTCTTGTTTTCTGTCCTTTCCCCTCTCAGTTCCCATTCATCGCATGGCCCCCACTCACCCTTTCGCCCATGTCCCCCTTCAATCCCGGTTGCCCTGGAATGCCAAAACCTGGACTTCCCTGGGGGGAGAGCAATGAACACAAATGCATCAAATTCACCGTGCTGCTTGCAGTAAAACATAATGATTCTTTTGCCCTCCTCCCTTTTCCTGCCTCCCTAGGAAGACTGAGATGAGACGGTCTCTCCCACCGGGCATCAGCAGCATTCAGCAACATGCAGGAATCCAGACCTGGGCTCGGCAGCCAGCATGGAGGTTTTCAGGAGGAGGCAGTTCTCATGGAAAGGCCCTTAGCTCTTTTGGGCTAGTATCCGCCATGAACATCACATTGAACAAGTCATAGCTGGGGGCAAACGCTGCTGCTAGAATTCTGATCAGTGAACGGAGTGAGTGCATCACTCTTGTTTCACCATCATCGCACCAGCTGCCTGTGCGACTCTGCGTTAGCATCACCGGTCTGCTCTCAACCTACTAAAGCCCTTGAGAATTCCCCTCCCCAAGCACCAGCTAGAGGTTGCCTGCCCCTGCTCCCTATGTCACCCTGCTTCAGTAACATGTCATACGGTGTGTCCATTACTTCAGCCCTTTATCTTCCCCCTCTCTTGAGCCCACCCACTCGGGGTTCAGAGATGCTGACCTGCTTCCAGTTCATACTATAATTACCAGACAGTGTGCTTTGTGCTGCACAAGACACAAAGAGAGATACAGTCCCACCCCCAGCTTCCAACTCAACAGACAAGCCTTTGCGTTTAGGGCCAGACGGAAAGGCGGCAGCTCCCACATGATGCATTTCCAGCGAAGAGAGGTAGGAAGTGAAAGGAGACGTATTGCTGGACCGCAGGGCCTCATTGTCACCCTCCCGCCTTACAACATATTTATCTCAAAGTCTTTGGCCTCAGTGTGCCACTGCAAACATCAGGGGCTACCATGCATGGACCGTGCACACCAGTTTGGCTTAATGAGAAGCTCAGTCCACATTGTGGCCTTCTTCGCGAAGACCCACAATATACAATTTGAACCAATAAAGGAACTGAAAGTTTCCAGTGCCACAAGCACGGCCTTTACCTTCTCTCCTTTATCTCCTTGTTTTCCTTTGTTTCCCTGTGGTCCTGTGGGGCCGACAAGTCCAATATCCCCCTAAGTGTGAAGAAGTCACAAAGTTAGTAACATCCTAGCCAGGGCTTGCCCTTCCTGTGTGACTGCTGGAATCCATGCAATGGGTGGTTCAGTTTTCAATCCACTCTGATGACTAATTTCATTGAGAAATCCACCCATTTACCTTCGGATTTTATCCTGCTGCCCATCACCATAGTATCTGGGTGCCTACTATGTAAAATCAATATCTATAGTTAAGTCCCTAGTGGATTTCATGGAGTCTGAGGCTCTGAAAATAATATCCTTAGCTGTGAAAAACTGTGTAACAGGGGAAGGAATTAGCAGAGTTAGACGGACTTTGCTCTCACTTACACCGGTTTAACTCCATTGGAGCAACTCCTAATTCACACTGGTGTAAATGTGATGAGAATCTGGCCCAGGAGTTGTCTGCTATGAAGCTTCAAAAGAGACTGGTATTTTACCAACAAAAATTATAAAAGGTCTGAAGAATAGGACGTATGAGGCAAGGAGAAAGCTAAGGACCTCGCAGACCCCTCTGCCAGCGCGCCACAGAATGGAATGAAATGTCTTAAGACCCAGACAGCAAACAAGAGAGTATTGCTAAGTCCCCTAATGGGAGGTGGGTCTCATGAGAGGATCCTTCTCTTATAGGAGTGCCCCACAGAATGGAAACGGTTGGAGAACAATGGGGATAAATGCACTGGGCACGCTCAAGCTTCAAGAAAGGCAAAGCAGCAGTTTGTCATGTGGTAAAGGCGGGTGTTAGGAAGAGGAGTTGAGGGATATATTAGCTTTCTTAGTCAACAAGAGCAGTACTAGCCAGGAAGGCTGCAGCAGGGAAAATGTAGCCTAAGTTCTGTAGTTCTAAGTCTGGCAATAAGCTGCTAAGGCAGTGGTCCACAGACTGTTCAGGGTTGCACCCAGGGCCGGCTCCAGGCACCAGCCGAGCAAGCTTGTGCTTGGGGCGGCAGATTCTACGGGGCGGCATTCTGCCCAATCCTAGGGCGGCACGGCCACTTTTCTTTTTTTTTTTGGTTCGCCGCTCCGGCCGCCCTGTAGGGGGCGGCGGCGCAGAGGAGGGGAGCGCCCTGCTGGGAGCGGGCTGCGCACTCCGTCTGCCCCAGCCGGAGGCAGGTCTGTAGCAAGCCCGGCAGGGCAACCCGCGTCCTTCCCTGCCTGCTGACCCGGAAGGCGGCGCAGCGGTCGGGGCCGCATGGAGAGCACCCCGCTGAAGCCCTGGCCGCCCCTCTTCTCTCTCTCCCCCCGCTCCCTCCCCTTTTCCCCCGCTAGCCAGGACACGTCTGCAGCGCAGGGAGTCTCCCTGCACCCTGGCTCCAGCCGCGCCGCCGTTTTTTTTTTTTTTTTTTTTTTTGGGCGGCAAAAAAGCCAGAGCCGGCCCTGATTGCACCCCACCCAGGAGCAGAGCCCCGTCTTGGGGCTAAGGCTGGGGGCAGGTCTGGGGTCGGGAGCAGAGCCCCAGCCGGGGGCAGGGCTGGGCGCAGGGCCGGGAGCCGTGGCTGGGGGCAGGGCCAGAGCGGAGCTGGAAGCAGATCAGGGCTGGGTGGCGCTCCCGCCCTGCCCCCCCAGGGGCTGGATGGGGCTCTGCCATCCCCCCACCTCCAACTAGGGGGGTGCACCCCAGTTTGGGGACCACTGTGCTAAGGGAAGTACCAGAGTTAGAACATTCCATACCGGACACATCCATAAGGGTGGGGGAAAAAGGGAAATTAAATCAATCCTGCCGTCAAGCAGGTGCCTGGCATGGCTAATGCAGCAGGCGGTCTCTTCCATCTCTAAGAAGTCCCTGGATTTTGGAAACCGAGTTTACTCTAGCAATGTCAACATCTCTCCACTCTAGACAGAGTCCAGAGTCTGTCTTGGGCACTGGATCTGTGCTTTACTAACCCCCTTAACCAATACCCCACAATCTAAGCCTTTTCCACAAGCTGACACTGGAAACAGAATGGCTGGAAGCAAATTTACATCTACCACGTGTCTAGATGTTATGTGAGGGTTTAAATTTGCTTGCATATAAACAAGAGAAAGATTAATGGGGCAGAATCATCGTTGATCATGTGTCATTATACCCAGACTTTGAATACAGCTTCCATATGAGGAGAGACTAAAAAGACTGGGACTGTTCATCTTATAAAAGAGACTTGGGGGGGGGGATATGCTAGAAGTCTATAAAATGATGAAGGGGGTGGGGAAAATGAATAAGGAAGTGTTATTTACTCTGTCACACAACACACAACCAAGGGGCCACCTAATCAAATTAATAGGCAGGAGCTTTAAAACAAATGTAAGGAAGTACTTCTTCACACAACACACAATCAACCTGTGGAACTCATTGCCAGGGGACGTTGTGAAGGCCAAAACTATAACTGGATTCAAAAAAGAATTAGATAAGTTCATGGAAGATAGGTCTACCAATGGCTATTAGACAAGATGGTCAGGGTCACAACACCATGCTCTGGGTGTCCCTCAGCCTCTGACTGCTAGAAGCTGGGACTGGATGCTAGAAGCTGGATCACTTAATTGCCCTGTTCTGTTCAGTCCCTCTGAAGCATCTGGCCCTGGACACTGTCAGACAGAGGATACTGGCTAAATGGACCACTGGTCTGACCCAGTATGACCGTTCTTAAGTTCCAATCTCTGTTCACTTGAGCTCTGTCATTTCATGAGGCCAGGTCTTCGTATATCCCAGGAATCTCAGTGAGTAACATGGTACTCAGCCCTAGTCTTCTTAGGCAAAGGTCTCATGCAAGTTTTAAAGTTGTTCTGCATAGTTAACTTACTCTGGTACCCTTCTTGCCTGGAGGTCCAACAACCTAGGAGAAAAGGAAGCCGCATAAGTGTCCTCTTTATTTAGAGGAATTCTTTCCCTGCCACAGGTGGATATTAGAATCATAGAAGATTAGGGTTCGAAGAGATCTCAGGAGGTCATCTAGTCCAACCCCCTGCTCAAAGCAGGACCAACCCCAACTAAATCATCCCAGCCAGGGATTTGTCAAGCCGGGCCTTAAAAACCTCTAAGGAAGGAGATTCCACCACCTCCCTAGGTAACCCATTCCAGTGCTTCACCACTCTCCTAGTGAAATAGTGCTTCCTAATATCCAACCTAAACTTCCCCCACTGCAACTTGAGACCATTGCTCCTTGTTCTGTCATCTGCCACCACTGAGAACAGCCGAGCGCCATCCTCTTTGGAACCCCCCTTCAGGTAGTTGAAGGCTGCTATCAAATCCTCCCTCACTCTTCTCTTCTGCAGACTAAATAAGCCCAGTTCACTCAGCCACAATCAGATCATGTTACACTGGGGTTTTACAGGGGGCGAGTGGGGGAGGACACAACTCAAATTTCAAAGCAAAATAAGCTCAGTCTACTTCCATTCCCTATAGGACCTTGCACCCTGTGTTTTAATGGCAAAAGCCAACTCCTGTACTGTATCCAACATCAGAAAGGACTATAGGCCTGGTCCAAAACCCATTGAAAGACTCCCATATATTTCAATGGGCTTTGGATCAGGGCCTATGTAAGCCCAAGTGTGGGATCCAAAGGTAATTCACCTTCAGGGGAGTGGGGCCAGTTAACTGGTCAAGACTTACCCAGAACAGCCCAAGGACTTTAAGTACACCAGGGCTGAGCCTCGATGGATCCAGCAGGCCTCAGTATCTATCAGAATAAATTTAAGTGCCCTGGTAGTGCCCAAATCAGCCCTGTGCTAACTCTCATAACCGGAGATCAGATTAAATGGATAGGATTAGACTACAAAATCTTTGGGGCCAGGATTGTCTTTCTAGCACCAGTCTCAATGGGGCCCCAGTCTGGATCAGGGCCTTCCAGGAAATCGCATATTACAGAAGAAATAGCAGTAATCACTAATGTGGAACTGGCTTTCAGAATTCCACCACCGGGGAGCCTGGTTTTCAGAAGTCAGTGCAACCCATGAATCCATGTGACTTTAACAGTGAGTGTGAACAGACGGTTCAGTAAGACTTCCTGAGTTCTTTAGCTTTTCATGCTGCCCGCTGTAAAGCTGTGCGTTAAGCGGCACAAGCCATGTCTGTATTGTACACCGAGTGATGCAGTATCTATTGTGCAGGCGAGTTACTAGAACTACTGTCCACTCATAGTTACCCCCATGGCCGGAGCACCTGGAAAGCCCTGACTTCCCTGTAAGAAAAGAGTAAATACATAAAGTTAAAAGTTAGAAAATTAAATGCTTTTATGCTTAAAAAACCTAAAGCATCATTTCTTAAACCAGCCCCCAGCTCAGGCACAGAAGGACAGAAGTAAAACATTAGGATGATGCTTAGGGCCCTACCAAATTCATGGTCCATTTTGGTCAATTTCAGGGTCATAGGATTGTAAAAATTGTAAATTTCATGATTTCAGCTATTTAAATCTGAAATTTCATGGTGTTGTAACTGTAGGGGTCCTGACCCAAAAGGGGATTATGGGGGATCACAAGGTTATTGTAGGGGGGCTGTGGTATTGCCACCCTTACTTCCGCGCTGCCTTCAGAGCTGGTCTCCCCCATGAAATCTGGTCTTTTGTATACATTTATCCTATATTATACAGATTTCATGGTCTGTGATGCATTTTTCATGGCTGTGAATTTGGTAGGGCCCTAATGATGCTGTCTGTCTTTCATTGGCCCAATGACCCGTCATTGTCATTATGAATGACTGTGATGAATAAGAATGGTCACTGGCACAGGGAAAGAGTGAGAGATGTACACTATTGGCTGGGGTTTGGGCATTCACTTGGGATGTGGGAGACCAAGTTCAAGTCCCCGCTCCAGTTACTGTTTACACTAAGTGGAACAGGTTGAGAGAGCTCGACAGCAGAATAGCCCATGGCCCAATCACCTGAGAGGTGGGAGACCCAAGTACAAGTGCCTTCCCCATAACAGGCAGAGGGGGGAATTGAACCAGGGTTTCCTACATCCCAGGTAAGCACCCCTAGCTACTGGGCTAAAGGAGACCCCACCACGACTCATTTTGTGAATCTAGTTCTTTTAAAATGCCAGAAACAAAACATTTTTGTTCGACTCAAAATGGATTTTTTTTCCTAGTTGATGAAATTTTTTGCAGTTTTCCGATTCAGTTTGACCCAAAATGAATTTAACAAAAATTTTGGGGTTGCCAGTGAACTGAAAAATCAGTTATTCCCCCTGCCCTGCTTGGAACACCATGTTCCAGAAGAGAGGAAACTTGTAAAGGGAGCTAAACACAGTCACTATTTTAAGGTTGTTATCTGATTATCAGGAGTCCTGACTCCTGTTCTTTGCCTTGGCTCCTCGATCTAAACAACCCCCCCACCCCCCGCCACCTCCCGCATTACTTACTTGGTCTCCTTTCTGCCCCACCATTCCTGGAAGACCCTGTAAAACAAAAAAGGAACATTTCCAACAGGTTAAAAATACTTCAGTCGTTTAATTCCGGGGTCCCAAAGGGACCACATTGTACAGCAGGGACAACGGCAGTGTCAAGTTGGGTCTTCATGGCGCATTTAGCCGTTGGCTTCTTTGATAAGACTGCCCCCAAAAGGGAGTTAAATGTGATGATGATTTTAATGCCATGAAAACTCGTCCATTAGGGAGTGGAACGAGGTCACCAGCGCCTGGCACATAGGCTACCCCTCAGCCATCAGATGGGAACATTGATCATGAACCTGGGCCCGATTTGAATAGGGCGACCTAGAAGCGATAAACTCTATGTCCCACTACCGGGCTTTTCAACACAAGCCCAGCCCCACGCCATGGAGTAGCTCTTCTTCAGGGACCTCCAACCAGATCCACACGTACATACAAATCTCACTAGAAATTCTGTTCTCATGAGATTTCCTGCCCAATTTTTAACTGACAGAAGTTTGAATACAAGACCAGAAGGCACCCATACCAGCCCCCACTCTAAGGGCTTTTGGGTGCGAGAGAGAGATCTGCCAGTCAGTAGGAAACCTAAATCAAACTCTGAGACACCCAAATCTCACCACTTCACTGCCATTCCAGGAGGCTAAAAGGGGATGGGGCTAGTCTTCAACCTGAATGCAGCTAGGTGACCAGATGTCCCGATTTTATAGGGACAGTCCCAATATTTGGGGCTTTTTCTTATATAGGTTCCAATTACCCCCCACTCCCAGTCCCAATTTTTCACACTTGCTATCTGGTCACCCTAAATGCAGCCATTGCAGACTCACGTTAATGAAGAGCCTGATTCTCATTAATACCATGTTTCTTTCACACCATTCTGGCAGGTAAAAGGCCCACTTTAATGCCCCTTTACCCAGAGTGGCATAAAGGGACATTCATGTAAATGAGAGCCAGGTTGAGCATCTCTAGCAACGGGAGATGCCAAACAGAGACTACAATGTTTGCAAGAGCTGTTGAAAGTGGCTCCAAAGGCACCGCAACATCTAGAAGGAGCTGGCTCTGCAATGGTCTCGTCAAGAAAGGGTTTGGGATGGTTCCATTTGTTACAGGCAGGCTCATTCTGACAGCAGCTTGTCAAGCAATTTGATTGACTTACAGCAATTCCTTGAAGTCCCTTCGGCCCCATTTCTCCAGGCTCCCCCTGCAAGTGACAGAAAATACACAGGGATATTAGGTGCATAATTGTTGCCAGAACAGACCAATGGTCCACCTACTTCAGCGTCCAATCTCTGACAGAGCCTGGTGCTCAAAACTGCAGAGGAAGTCACCTGCAGGGGAGATATCTTCCTGTCCCCAGCTGGTGATGAGTCCATGTCCTGAAGCATGAGGATTGGTAACTTATTTTTATCCTAACTGCAAATGCTAATAAAAATATCCAATTTTATTTTGATCCTTGATTTAATAATTAAATGAAAATTCAGAAGGAATGTGCCTTGGGGGTCTGTAAAACAACAAATATGCATGGGAAATATTCCTCAAAAGAAAACTGAATACACATTCAACAGGCTAAGACCCCTCAGATATTGGGCTCAATTCTGCTGCCAGCCACACTGGTTTTAGCCCAGTGTAACTCCACCAATTTTATCTTTAATCTATACCAGTATAACCAAGAGCAAATCAGGCCTATTCTCTCTCTCCTCTCCTATGTCCAAGCATCATTTATTTCTATCAGTTTAAGGACCCCTCTCACCTTCTCCCCTTTGACACCTGCTTGGCCTTTTTTACCCTGGAAAATGAAAGATGCTTTTGTTAAGACAAAGATCCATTTGCAAAGAAATATCAACCAACAAACATGCAAGCCCTGCACTCTGCAGGAGAAAGAGCTTTGGATAGTCCTTCTCCAGGAGTTTGCAAAGCAAGAGGACAAATATCTTTGTTTTAATATCAATAGACTTTGCATTCATATATTGCCCTTCAGGTGAGGATTTCAAAGAGCCAGACAAATAATAATTAATTCTCACAATATTGTGTGTATTATGGTAACACCAGCTGAGATTGGGGTCCCATTTTACTGGGATAGTTTGGGCTCTAAATTCACTGAATTTTTTTGTTAAACTTTGATTTTGGTTCACCCAAACCCTACCTTTGGGCCAGTCAGTCCTTCTTCTCCAGGCAATCCTGGTTCACCCTAAACAAAACAAAAAAATGTTATTTCCCTGACTGTCCCATGTAGTCTGTCCCAGAAAGAACTCATTAAAAACACCAGTAGTTATAGGCTTAAGGGCCCTTACAGAAAACACCCAGTCACGCTTTTTCCTTTTCTTAAAGAGGTGCAATTGCCAGGGCCGGCTCCAGGCACCAGCTGACCAAGCAGGTGCTTGGGGCGGCCAAGGGAGAGGGGCGGCACCTGAGGCAATTGGGGGGCGGCAGGTCTCTCACTCCCTCTAGGAGCAAAGGACCTGCCCCTGTAGTGCCCCCCCGGTGGCGGGGGTTTTGTTTTTTTTTTTTTTTTTGCTTGGGGCGGCAGAAATGCTGGAGCCGGCCCTGGCAATTGCACATGCAAAAATGCACATACAAGTGCATGCCCACATTTGTGTACACAGTACCACGATTGCACATGCAAAGGGCAAGTTAGAGATGGCTGTTTGCATGTGCAAATACCCAATTCCCATGCCTTGTTATAAACATGCACATGCATTTTTCCACATGCAAGCAGGGCTTGGCCCTCAGTATTGTGTGTTGAAGGGGCAGTTCTTTAGAAAGCAAATTCTCCATTAGCTAGACAAGACGGTCTGAAGTGAGTCATCTGTCCATCTCCCAGAGCCACTGCTCTGCAGAATCCTCTCCAAGCAATAAGCCACTTGATGCAGGAGAGGCATGGAAGAGAAACAGTGATAAGAAGATGGAATTAGCCAGACCCGATCATTGGCCAGTTAGGTTCGGTATCCTGCCCACAGCAGTGGCTGTCGTCCCATGCTTCAGGGGGAGGGCAACTGCTCACTCAATCGTGCATTTAGCTACTCGTTCAGTGCTACATGTAGGGGCCGGGAGATCTTCCCAGCCCATGGAGGTGACCACTTCATGCCCATAGATTTGATTATCTTTCACATACCTAAGCCACTCTCGGGGCTTTTTTGTTACATCAAAAAATCACAGGATTTGACTCCCTGATCCTTGTCCAGCAGTGACTGTCACAGGCTGATGCATCAACATTTTCCTCGCCCTCAGGCGGCAAAATCCTCCCCACTCTCCCCGAGTCACTTCCCCAACAATCATTGCCACCCATTTGTGAGGGGCCTCTCTCATGGACACTTTGTACACGGTAGGGCTGCTTACCAGCAGGTCAGGGTCCTGTACCAGATATGGACTGGCTACAGAGCTCCCTTCTCAGAGCGAGACACACCAGATGTGTTCACTAGAAGATCCTTTAATGCATTGCCAGCAATGGCGGAGGTTAGCTTTAAAAAGGTATGTTGCCTTGTGGCTGAACAGTATAATACAGTTTAATATGCCTTTCCAGACACCGTTCACCTTGCCAGCCTCCACCAGGAACTAGGGTTGCCAACTTTCTAATCGCACAAAACCGAACACCCCTGCCCCGCCCCCTGCCCCGAGGCCTCACCCCTTCTCTGAGGCGCAGCCCCCACTTGCTCCATCCCCCCTCCCTCCGTCGCTTGCTCTCCTCCACCCTCACTCTCTTTCACTGGGATGGGGCAGGGGGGTTGGGGTCTGAGTGCTCTGGCTGGGGGTGCGGACTCAGGTGAGCCCAGGGATGAAGGGTTTGGGGTGCAGGAGGGGGCTCCTGGCTGGGGCTGAGGGGGTTCAGAGTGTGAGAAGGGGTGAGAGCTCCGGCTGGGGGTGTTGGCTCTGGGGTGGGGCCAGAAGTGAGGGGTTCAGGGTGCAAGAGGGGGCTCTGGGCTGGGGTGCAGGGGGGTGAGGGCTCCATCTGGGGGTGTGGGCTCTGGGGTGAAGCCAGAGATGAGGGATTTGGAGTGCAGGAGGGGGCTCAGGGCTGGGGCAGAGTGTTGGGGGGGGGAGTGCGGGCTCTGGGAGTGAGTTTGGGTGCGGGAGGGGACTCCAGGCAGGGGGTTGGAGTGCGTGATGGGGTTCAGGGTACACGGTCCCGCCAGTGCTTACTGTGGCTCCCAGGAAGCAGCTGCCAGGTTCCTGCAGCCCCATGGTGCATGGGCAGCCATGGACAGGAGGCTCCGTGCGCTGCCCTTGCACCCACAGACGCCACCCTCACAGTTCCCATTGGTCGCGGTTCCTGGCCAATGGGAGCTGCGGAACCGGCACTCAGGGCGGGGATAGCGCATGGAGCCTCCCTGGCCGCCCATATGCCTAGGGGCCACAAGGACCTGGCAGTCGCTTCCAGAAGCCGCACAGAGCTATGGCAGGCAGGGAGCCGGCCTTAGCCCCGCTGCGCCGCTGACCGGACTTTTAACGGATCAGTTGGCGGTGCCAACCGGAGCCACCAGGGTCCCTTTTCAACGGGGCGTTCCGGTCAAAAACTGGACGCCTGGTAACCCTACCAGGAACCTAGGAATTCCCAGGCTAGATCAGAGCAGAGACCACCAGATGTTTCAGAGGAAGGCGTTCAAACCGGCCATTAGGAAGATGTGGGCTAATCTGTCCCCCACTTTCAGACTCATCCTAATCCCTAATAGTTAGAGGTTAAGACTTGAAGCATGAGTTTTAATCTGTCTTCAAGAATGGATGGATGTGAGCATTAACTACTGCAACTCTGGATAGTCTGGCTAGCCATATAAATGGGAACATAGGACACAGGACTCGAAGGGATTGCTGTGTCACTGAGTCCAATCCCCTGTTATCACAGGAAGCCACGTCATATAGTCCCATTCATAAATGTATCAAGCTCCATCTTAAAACTACTTAGGTTGTTTGTCCCCCACTACTCCTATGGGGAGGCTGTTCCAGAACTTTACTCTTCTGATGGGTAGAAGCCTCCTTCTAGTTTCCAGCCTAAATTTATTCATGACCAGTTTCTACCCATCCAGTCTTTTTTTTTTTTGAGTCTTGCTGGATTCTTGGCCTCAATGTCATCCTGTGGTAGGGAGTTCCACTGTCTAATTATGCCTTGTGTGAAGAAGGATTTCCTTTCACAGGTTTTGAATTTGGGGTAGTGTCATTGTATTCTATGCCACAAGTGATGTCCGTCCACCTTCCCCGTCAGAAGACCACCACCCATTTCCAACCACCCTAGCACAGGTTCAACTTGGATGAGTGTTTTTAATACCCGCCTTTTGTCCTTGTGCTCCGGGTGGTCCCATTGCCCCCTGAAAAACAGAGAGAGAAGACAGCTCAGCCTCTAGGACTCATTGCTGGCTTCTGTCCTCTTCATCACCATCACCATTCTTCAGTGTTTCTCTCCTTTTTCAACCCCAGCAGCAGTGCATGAGTTTCAACCACACCTCTCCATTGTGATCCAGCTATTTACAAAGGGCTGATTTCAGCAACGCCCGTCCCTCGCCTATTAGATTGTCACCTCCAACAGTTTGCTAAATCCAGTTCCATCAAACAGTGAAGACACAGGCGTCTTGCAAGGACAGAGCAATTCCTCCCAGGTGTTTAGGGGCAAAGGGCAGGATGCCGGAAGCCCAAGCGGGATTTTTGTGCCACAAGTCCAACTGCACAGGAACTCCAGGCACTGCCTGGCACAGCAGGGATTTGGGGGTAGAGCTGGTGGACCTGCCACCAACCATTTCCCTTGGCAGAGGGGGAGGCCAGGTGCTGCACAGGCTGCAGCGGACACTGTGGAACAGCTCCACTTCTGTTCCATGGCCTAGGTGCCTTCCCTCTCTACAGCCCCACTGGAACACCCCAGAGTACAGGCCGTGAGGCTCAGGCTGCTCATTGGGACCAGGGTTTGGGCGTTAATGCCGTGCAGGTCAGATGCTAATTGGATCAGACTGACTCCTCCCCAAGCTGGAACCCCGCAGCCACATGGTGCTCACAGCCAGGTGAAATTCTCTCCTACCTCTGAGAAAATAACGTCCAGTCCAAGTCCGACAAATGAGGCTGCATCTACACTGGGCTTTGCTGCCAAACACCTGGCTATTGCTGGTTTAGTTCTACTGCAGTAGCCATACTGGGCACCAAGGTTCCCAGTACTGATGGTGTTTAAATCACTGAGTCCTCCCACCCTAATGAGAGAAGGTCTAAACACCATGATCAAAATGCTGGTGGCCACTGACACCTTGTCTGCACTAGCCTGCCCACTAGAGCTGGTGGGAAAAAGCAGGAGGTTCCAGAGAACATTTTGACAAAAATGGAGGGGGAAAAATACATATTTCAATTTTTGGCAGAAATTTGAATACAGGGCTACATCTCCCATGACACACCAGGATCTCCCCTTTTGGAGACAGGAGGCAGTACATCATGGGAGTCCCTGGCCCTGGTGCTTCCTGGGAGATGTAGTCACTCTGGGGAGCTCAGCCCATAGAGGAGAATGGGGACATGAGGCAAGTAAACTATAACTCCCATGAGGCAACGTGGCAGCGTGTCCAATTTGAAATATTTCGGCTTCAGCCAAAACATTTAGGTTTTCTGACTGAAAAATATAGAAATTTTTGTGTGAAAGCAGATAAACATTGCTCAGAAGTCTAGCATGAGTATATCTAGGCAAGTTGGGAATCACACCCCTAGCTTCAAGTATGGACGTAACCTGTGATCATCTAGTCTGACCTTCTGCATAACCCAGGCCATCGAACCACAAGGACAGATTTAGTTTTTTGGTTCTATCTGTTAATAACTACATCTGGAGTGTTGAAGGAAAAGGGGAGGGACAGAGGTTGCCTATTGCACAGGTACAAACCTGGTTGCAAAGATTAAACATACCTTTCCTCCTTCTGCTCCCTTAAAGCCAGGTGTGCCTGGAATGCCGATCCCTGCCTCCCCCTGAAAAGCAAACACAGCCTAAGGCCTGGTCCCCACTAACCCCCCACTTCGGACTAAGGTACGCAAATTCAGCTACGTTATTAACGTAGCTGAATTCGAAGTACCTTAGTCCGAACTTACCGCGGGTCCAGATGCGGCAGGGAGGCTCCCCCATCGATGCCGCGTACTCCTCTCGCCGAGCTGGAGTACCGGCGTCAACGGCGAGCACTTCCGGGATCGATCCCAGAACATCGATTGCCTGCCGCCGGACCCTCCGGTAAGTGTAGACGTAACTTAAGTGAAGGTAACACTCCAGAGGGAGAAGAGAGA